GCATGGGGTACCTAATAAAGTGGCCGGTGAGTGTACATCATAAAAGAACAATTTTATTTTAATCTGGTTAGATTTTAGAAAAGAGAAAAATAGAAACATTTTCCTCAAATGATTAAAAATGTGATTGAAAAACATAATTGTGTTTTTATAATGATTTTGTTACGATGTTTTCAATAGAATATAAAATTTTGCTTTCTTTAGCTTTTGGTTAGAAAGAAAATCTTTTCATATCAGTTCTGGCAAAAGTTTTTTTTTTTGCCTTAATGGCTACATGTATGGAATAGATTTTTTTTTCATTGTTGTAAAAATAATAAGTTTTAAAATGGAAATTTACAAAATAGAAATCCAGAAATTGCGCAAAAAATTGCTTTTTCATCAGTTTTTACTTGAGCAATTTGTTAAGTTACTTCTTTTTACTTAAACAATAGAAATGTTGAAGTTGTGCTCCTCTCTAGATTACAGTTTCTTGGTAACTCTCCCCACTTCTGTGAAACACTAGTATCTCACACTTTATATTAGTCAGATAAAGCCTTTAAAGGCTGCCCTTCTTGTCTTCTTTCTTTAAAGCTGGTGAATTCCTCAGGTAAACAAGAAACAGTATCTGCTTTGTCAGAGTAGTTCACATTTTGTTATTTTCGCCTGCTTCCTTATCCAAACTGGAGAAAAAGAAGAGAACACTCAGTTAAAGTGTTGGGGTACTTTGGATCTCCTTTTCTGGCCGCAAACCTGTGCAGTTTCCAGGCTTTGTTCTCTGGTGCTAACTGCAGGCAGCTGGGCAGGTAGAGAGGCAGACTGAGGTATTTGAAGAAGAGCTGTGCTATCCCGCAGGAATGTGGAAGTCTGCCCTGGAAGACGCTGCTGTAATGATGGATTATCGTAATTATCAAAACTGACATAGCCTCACCCCAGTTTACTACAGGAACCGGGCGCTTGATCCTGCAAATAATTGTTTTATAGGACATTTTATTGGTTGACAAACAAGAGGAAGTGTTTAGTCTAGACTTTAAAGTGGCAGTTTATGAGTTAAAATGATGCTTTGGTATTCGAGTCATCTCTTCAGACAGAGCTGCTAAACTATGCAGGCTTCCAAACTGCTGCTCCCTGGAACGAAGCCATAGCATCACGCCGTAAATCACCTTTTAGCCAATTCCACTCAGAAATTGCACATTCAGTCATGCTAAATTTACACTTTTTGTTTAGCCTTTTTAAAAAAAATTTTAGATAAACTCATTCCATCCATCAAAAGTTGTTGAATTCACTGCCTGAAAGCACTTGCTGCAGAAATAACAGCTCACTACCTATATGGGCTGTCTTAAATCTCCCAAATACTTCCTGGCCTGTTTCACTTGGAAGGCATTCCTTCAGAAAAAGAGAAAGTAGCGGGACTCTGAGACGGGCCTAATCGGGCTCTCAGATGAAAGGGCCGCACAGGTGGCCAATGAAAATGGCTCCCTCAAATTAACAATCCATTAATTGCCCCGAGGGCCGTGCATTATGGTCACTAAATACGCTCCATATCATCAGAAAATGAATACCCTCCACCGGGCTCCCGGGACTTCAAAGCCAGAGACATTAAGCCACGACACGGCCTTATCCTTTGATCCAGCGCCGCAATTAGCAGGGAGAGGAAAACAAAAACATTCCTACGATTTATACAAAGCAGATCTAACATTTCCAAAGCAGTAGTTTCAAATCTGGCTGTAAATGTGTAGTGTATTGCAGTGGATCTCTTATCACAACTCACCTTTTTAGTAAATATATAGCTCTGATTATTAATTCATTCTCATAATGTTCATTCATAATGTTTGGATTATATTTGCACCTTAAACCATTTCGAAGTTGCTAAACCTTTGAAACTGTGCAACTTCTGTTTGTGAACATGTTCCTATTTGCTTGCATACATACATTAAAAGTCAAATAGATGCATGTTTATAAGATCATATTGCAAACTTGGCAATGAGCTCAGCAATTAACATAAAATTGTTTATCCTTTTGAAGCGTTTTTCCTCATTGATGCCTGCTGCACATCGTAGCCTCGTTAACTTATAAAATGTTTTTTAGTCTTGTTAATGGAAACCCAACTAGTACAAGTTTGAGATATTTGGTTTTGCAGTATCGTATATGAAAGACACCCAACATATGCTTTTGATAATGTTTTTTCAAATCAATATCTAACTGGGAGGCGAGTGGTGAAACCTAATGAGAGTAAAGCTGGTTGCTGTCAAGCTCAGGCAAATTTTCCGTCTGTGTGTGTCTGCAGCAAAATGTCTTTGCCAGAACGGGGGCGTCTGTGTGGGCATCAATGGAACCTGTGAATGCCCTCCAGGCTACACAGGAGCCTTCTGTCAGTTAGGTGGGTATGATCCGTATAATCCGTCGATGAATGGGTCACTCTATGACTTTTTTTTTTTTTTTCAAATTTGCAAACCTGCTTCTCACAATCCGCCCTTCCTCAGGAGTTACTCAGACCCTGTGCAGTAACAGCAGGACATGCCCTGATGGAAGTCCCTGTTTGGAGTATGGAGGATATTACGTGTGTACGTGTCATACTGGAGTACAACCCGATCCTATGGACTTTTACCCTGGTAAGACCCTGAGGCCTCTGCTTAGTAAGCAGAAACTTTGACATCTTCATTCCACACAGAATTTAAAGGAAAAGGTTTACTTTTTTTATGTTTGCAAAATGACACGCAATTTCGTCTTCTAATTTAAGATTTTGATAAGGTTATAAATATTTTTTTTTTGCTCATTTGCTACTGTGTTTTTGTTGCAAAAATTGGAATTAAACGAAGTGAAAAACATAAGACGACATTTTTCTAATACAGATACCAACTCCTTATCTATGTTTTCGATATATTGCACCAATCCATGAATCGATTGGTTAGTGAACACCAGCCATTCATCCATTCCATTTTCTCCCGCTTAGTCCTTGTCAGGGTCGCGGTGGGGCCGGGGCCTATCTCCGTTAGTCTACGGGCGAGAGGTGGAGTACACCTTGGACAGGTCGACAGTCCGTTATAGGGCAACACAGAGACACACAACCATGCACACAAACACTCTGACCTACATACAAATTAGAGAAGCCAATTGACCTAACAATCATGTGAAATTTCTATTCAATTAGGTTTAATTCAAATTTTGTCTTATTAGGTCATATATGCATTCATAATGTAGGAATTTTACATGTTTTTTTTACTTTTTACATATATTAATTTAAGTTAAAATTGCCATTTTCTATTTAATCTGAATTAGAAATATAAAAAAAAAGATAAAATCAGCTTTAAAAATTAGTTTCTTTTATTTGATTTTAAAAATACATTTAGTAGATGAAAACTGGGATCTTATCTCAATAACATTGAAGCTATCATCTTATTGTTTTTAAATAATTAATAAAACTGAATTTGTAAAAAAAAAAAAAAAAATAGATCCAAAGGACCTATCAGTAAAAAAAGGGCCCTGGCCCCTGTTGGCCCCTGTCTAGAACCGCCCTTGCCCACATGCACAGGGAGAACATGCAAACTCCATGCAGAAAGACCCCGGCCCAGGAATCGAACCCATAACCTTCTTGCTGCAAAACAGCAGTGCTACCCACTGTTACACCATGCAGCCTAGAGAGAAACAATATATAATTATATCTTAAACCATTTAATCATTTTACATTTGGGTTATTGATAAATATCATTACATCAAGCTAGCACTAAGTAGCATTAGCTTTAGGCAGCTTACCTTCACATGTCCTCCAGCTATCCCTCTGTTTGATACCACATGGCTTCTCTCTGTCTCTACATATCCAGGATGCTTCATCAACATCGATCCTCTTTAACAAAGTCTGACAGCAGCCATAAAAACAGCTGCAGTCTTTTCTGCTGTTGTGTTGATTTCTCTATAATCACATCACTTCAGACTGTAGTGCCTATTTGCTATTAAAGATCCTCTCAACATTGAGATTCTACTGTATTACAGCTCAGTATTTGTCTCATCCAAGTGGTCAACTCTAATTTTAATTTCTCCATTTCACAGCTAGGGCTTCTTGTTTGTTGTTCAACTTTTTTTTCCCAGTCTACTGTAAAACTTGCTTTGTTGTATGAGCAATGAACATTGGATGTTATCAGTTCCCAGTTTTTGGCAGGTTGGAGCTTTTGTTGTCCCTGAACCTGCTCATTCCTTGTATCTGAGGGTGTATGCTAGTTTGGTCCTTCCTCTTGATCTTAGCAAAGTTGTTACATATATATAACTTACCTGTGGGTTTTATTTTATGAACTGATTATGTTAACTTAAAAATTTCCCGTTTGTTAATTGACAGTTCTGTTTCTTAAAATATTTACTCAAATGGTTTGGCATCCTCATATTTTATGGTATTGGAATATTCCATGAGAGCTGACAAGCCCTTATATTGGGAATGAGAAACTTCCTGCTGCTGGCAAACCAAATCGCTGACCAAGCATAGGCCTTTCCCCTTACAAGAAAAAGATATTCTAGAACCTAAGATAATCAGATGAATGTCTCAATTTTTTTCAGCCTAATTTCCACTTTTTTCTTGGGGCTTCAAAAGCCCCAAGAAAATATGTTATGGGCCTACAATGAATGCCCATAACGAGTGTATGTAAGCTTCTGGACACGCTATGCTTAAAACTTTGTTTAAATCTACTCAAAACCTAAAAGAACTTGCAATGCAAAAAGCTGCATAAACAAACTTCTTACATTAGCAGCGAACATTGCGAATAATGCAAAAAAACTGACATCTTTGATGTTTTTGATTGTTCTGTAATCGACTGAAACAAAAAACAACCTTTAATTTTTTAAAGTTGAGCCAAAGCCGTCTGTTTAAGGGAAACTTTGAAGCTCTGCTGTTACTTGATGCAATGGAACACAATCAAGTCTTGTTGTGTGTTTTTCAGTACAGCCCCAATCGGTGTGCGACTCCTCGCCTTGCCTGAATGGTGGGTACTGCTATGAACGAGACGGAGGCTACACCTGCGAGTGCAGATACGGATACTCTGGGAAACACTGTGAAAAAGGTAGAATCATTGATTAAAATATGGCGTATATACCTGGATACCAATCAGTTTTAACCAGCAGCATTAATAAAACATCTCTTTATGTGAACATTATTGCTAATAGCAGCCTTTTTCACATTTTAGAAAACATGGCATTACTTGCAACACTGCTTGAAAAATTGCAACGCTGAAAGGCTTATTATAATTTTTATGTATGAGGGAGTTATGGGCTATTTCCCCGAATTATGACTCGAGTGCCAATGGAGTGGAACAGATGCATTTAGTGTGATTAGAAGGTGGAGTGCTGTTTGCTTCAAGGATTCCTTCTTCTCTGTCTCTTTCCAGTTAGACTTAATACGTGTGCTTCCAGCCCCTGTCGCAATGGAGGCTCCTGCAAGGAAGAGGGAGGGGGCTACAGATGTGTGTGTCCTTACAGATTTACTGGAAAACACTGCGAAGTGGGTGAGTACCACCCTTATGTTATATTTCTAATATTTTTTGCAGGTATGTGTGAAAGTATGGAAGTAAAGTGAGGAAATTCTACCTAGACTACTCAGAAAACTCCAATTCTGTCTTGATTAAATCAGTTTTCTCAATAGTTTTAGCTAATAAATGAAGCGCAATAAGAATGTAATAATAAAAGGTAATCGTTTGTGTAGGGTTCTTTTTTTCACATTTTGTCCAAAAAATGTATATTAACATGGAAGCTTCATATTTTCTATTAGCTTTTGCATTGATTTTTTAAATTACAATATTATATAGCTATGTTAACTCATCATCATATTTAGCAATAAGGTCCAATGTATTTATATGCCTGTCATTCTTGCAGCTTAAAACAAAAGATAAAAGAAGACAGTAAATCATTATATGATATATGAAATGTACAATATTTTATCACCTGAAGCAGAGAGTTATGTCAAGGTTTGGTGGATATTGCAGTATTTAAAAACACAGTGAGAGATTCAGGAGTCTTTACTGATGTCTAGAGATGTCTTCTTGATACAAATCCATAATGAGAGGTAGGGAATGCCAACCAGTGGTGGGAACGTTACGTATAAAATAAACAAATATATAGTTACCAGTTACATTTCCAAAAAAAGTAACTCAGTTACTGCACATCAAGGTAACCACTGAATAATCAAAGTAACTCTGCAGTTACTTTCTATGCTCTAATCTGTCAATGAATATGGATAATTTTTCTGTTATCAAACGTTTAAATACACTGAAGGTTCCTCTTCTATTTAAATATGTGATATGTTTAATAGAATTCATTAATTGACTAATTAATTAATTAAAGGAGGTATACATCTGGAAACATTGTACCCTAATCTGTACCAGAGTAGTAAAAAGAAAATATATTTTTGCATGTTGACAGGCATCAGCTGGCTGTAAAATAGGTAGGAAGCTAAAAATAATTATTTTAAAGCTATTTAACAAAATAAAATATATTCATACTTTGTAGCAGAATTAATCAAGAGTCACACTATTAAAAAAGCCAGCAGGAATATTCAATTCCAGTATTTTCATGTTGAAAAAAAAAACAGTAAATCAAGCAAGTGAATTCAGTTAAATGCTGAGAAAGTAAAGAGCAGCGTATTGATAAAGGCAGCCAGCTGTTAGTCAGTGTTGCTGGTGTGAGGAGCTGCTTTAGATTAGAGCCGCGTCCAACAAATCTTTATAAAGAAAGTCTTCATTCCTGGACATAAAGAGAAAATCAAGGCAACATCTTTAGTAACGCTGTCTTGAATCAGTGGCTCTGCGCCATTGTCTCTTCTCCTCTCAGTCTGTGATGCTGAACACCCGCCCACAATACAGCTTCTCGGCCAATCAGATCTGCAGAGAGCTTATGAAAAGTCACTTTGACTGGTTAAATCACTAAACCAGGTGTTTAATTTGGTTCCTTGTCTGTCCATTCAAATAAGCTTGCAAAGTTAAGAGGAAGAAAAATTACCTTAGTGACACTAAACTGTAGTTTTATTATCAGACCTTTATTATATGGTAAAGGTTGATCAAGTGAAGTTCAATCATCAATAATTTTCCCTCTGGGCTCCTATCAGGTGGTGTTTATGTGGTTGTCAGCATAAAGAGTAAAGCAACCAGTTACAGGTCAGCAACTTGGTTTATTTAGGCAGTGAGACGGAAAACTTGATTTGCCCAAGGTCACACAGAGAATTTAGAGGGAATTGATTTGAAGGATTTTGAATGCGGTATGGTTGTTGGTGCCAAACAGGATACTCTTACTACTTCAGAAACCAATGATCTCACACAAAGCTATTTTTCTTTTTTCTATTTCAAGTTTACAGAGGCTGGTAAGAAAAAGAAACACTAACCAGTAAAGGGATGTTGTGGGGGAAAATGGGCAGAGTGGTTAAGGAGGACAAAGAGGCAAAAATAGCCCGTATAACCTCACATTAGGATTAAAATTCGAAATACAATCTCTGAATACTCAACATATGGAACGTTATAGAAGATGTGCTGCTTTTGACAGTAAGAAACAAGAAACTGAGGCCATAGTTCACAAAGACCCACTAGATCTGGACAATAAAACACTGGAAACCAGGATGAATGAGGATCAGGCTCAGCTTTAGCTACAGGATTCACATGTTTGCTCAGAGCTTGAGGTGAAAGCTTGGATCCACTCAGCCTTGTTTACGTAAATCATTCAGACTACTGGTGGTGGTACGATGGGATAAGGTGGGTGTTCTCAAGATGGGAATTGCACAACAGGTAAGGGTCATGAGTAGATAGAGGCCAATACATTGGCCAGCGGATATTTATGGCTGATATTAGTGTTTTTTATTCTTGTATCATACTTTGTGATGAAGGCAGTTCTCCCACTCAGTATTAGTGTATATTGCTGCATCAAAAGCTTTTTTTTATTATTTATCCTAAATACTACTGCTTTACTTAAATGTTCCCTCCTTCCTTTCACTATCTTGTACAATTCCTAATGTTTCTTTTGTATCCAAATGTATGCTTGCCTCATGCTGCATTTCTGAAAACTAAACTACTTCAGTAGTTAAAAGAAAGAATTAACCTAATTTCTTTTAATTTTCTTTGTTTTTGTTTTGTTTTTTCAGGAAAACCAGACCCCTGTTCTTCCACTCCCTGTCTAAACGGTGGAACGTGTTTCCACTACTTGGGAAAGTACAAATGTGAATGCACTGATGAATACGAAGGCAAAGACTGTCAAATAAGAAGGAGTTCATTACATCCCTCTGCAGGTGAGGAGACTTCTGTAACCATGAAACGATGTCCTAATCCCCTCCAGATCCTGACCTGGACGGATTAGAAGAGGCAGGAGGATATCCTGAGTTGTTAAAGTGCACAGATATTAGCTTTCCAACTAAAGATAATCTTAGTAGTGTTGCTGCACCGGAGGCCCCACATTCACAAATATAGATGGCTGTGTAGGCTATATAAAGTAAGCTGTGATTAGGCCTGGTGATTCATGTCTACACACTCTAATATTGGAGGTAATTTTAGCAGGACAAATACAGTCTTGATGGAAAGCACCTCCGTTTCCTCCAGTGAGCTCTGTTGAGCCGCTCTGTTTGTGAGCCGCTGTTACTATGCAGCCCATGCTTGTGTTATCAGCGTGTTTGTGTTCAATCCAGAGCCGGGCTGCGGGCCGCCCCCACACGTCAAACACGCCGAGGTCCAATTCTCCTCCACAACACCAGGCTCCATTGCCGAATATGTATGTCATCCCGGGTTCGCGTCGGTGCCCAGAGCCGCTCAGAGCCTCTGCAGCGTTCAGGGAGAGTGGAGCCAGCCCCCCGTTTGTAAGGGTCTGTGTCACACATCAGTATATAAAAAGAGCACATATGAAAGATCATCTTCTTCCTACAGAAGTTCAACTTTTAGGAGTTATGTATGACTTTGTGTGTACGCTAACTTAATTGTTTCCTGTTTTTGACAGAGATTAATGAGTGCTTATCACAGCCTTGTCTCAACGGCGGCTCTTGTCAAAATAAGATTGGCTCCTATAAGTGTGTCTGCTTGGCCGGCTTCAGTGGAAAACACTGTCAGATCGGTAAGTTTTGAGTAAATCCACGCTGTTCACAGAAAATTGAGCCTGAACAACGTTACTGTGTATTAAATGTGTGTAAACTTTTAAGAAAGTTCATATTCAATTCAGAGGACAAAGCATGCAGATCTTAATGAATATGCAGATTGTCTTTGTTCTAATAAACAAACCACACAAATATACGGGTAGGCGATATACAAAAAGAAATACTTAGCATCGGCAAAGGGGTTTATAAGACCTGAATATAATTAGGGGATAAATACAGTTTTTGCAGCTATATTTAATACATTTGAAAATCAAGCATGCAAAAATGTAACATTTTGACAATGAGAGACAATAGTCTGTACCTACATAAATATATGTGGACTGTCAAAAACAAAAAAATTTTACAGAGCAATACTGATTTAGAATAAAACTTGTGCAAACTGGCTCAGATTAATGCAACTGGAAGCAAATCCATATGCACTTCAAATGAGAAACACCATGACTGAACTAATTTGTAGCATGTTTACCCACCCAGATAACAGCCGTCACACAGTCTGTAGGACGTGCACATTCCTAACTTCTGATAAAAAGGAATTTCTTTTTTTTTTCTCCAGTGTTGCTTTATAAGCTGCATAATAAATAGACAGTTATGTTTTAAAAAATTAATATTACCCTACCTTGGTGTCGTAGCAAAACTGACCTAACCGGACATGAGGGAGACTTAAACAGTAGCTGACACATTGGAGAAAAACAAACAAACATAAAGAAAGATTTAAACTATCAAAACAACACTATCAAGACTTACATGAATCAATAAATGAGAAAGCACATACAATTTAAAATAAAACAAAGAAAAAGAAGAAAGCAACAAAATAATTTGATAAAGTCCAGATTTCTGCCAATCAGTGAATGGTATGACCAGAAGTGCTCATTATTCAGCAGAGATGATGCAGCTGGGTATTTTCTTTGGATTGGCTCATCAACCACAAGGTAACTGTGACTTAAATTAGAAATGTCGTGTCAGGGTTTGGTTGTGGTTTGAGGACCCAAATGCAGAGGCAGGGAGGCAGAGGTGAGTTTCTTGTGGATTTAATTAAAGATTAACAGACAGCTGAGGCAGTAATCCAAAAATCAAACATGAAAAAAAGTCAAACCAAAAAAAACATGGAGGCAGAAGGAGAAAACAATCACAACAAGGAAGACACAGTGAGAAGGAGTTGGAGGAAGAAAGATGAGGAACCAGCACTGAGGAACTGCACAAGGAGTGTATTTATGGGAGACTGAACAAAGAGAGGACTAACAAGCAGATTGGGAGCAGGTGTGAACAGAGCAGACTGGAAAGGAGCTAGGGAAAAATGAAAACACAAGAGGGCAGCAGAGGGCAACAAATAAAAACCTGAAAACTGAAATATAACCAGAAAACACAACAAAATAAGAATTAAACCAATAAAACTAGAAAACATCGAGCAAAGTAAAACTGAATACTCAAAAGAAAACATAACAGAACCAAGACTGTGACATGTTGATTTATTGCAAATTATACACAACAGTAAATGAGACAGAAAAAATATGAGAAAGGTTGTATTGTTAATGGAAATCAATACTGATTTTTATTTAAAGATGAATAAAGATGATTTGTTTTACCACCCCTTATGTGTAATTGCAGGGACAGCTGTTTTGAGGAGCTGGTGGATGTAAATCCAGCTGTTTAGAGCTCTTTATTGCTTTAAATCTGATTGTGGCTCCTTCTCTTTCGGGGGTGGGGGGATTACTGGAGAGGAGCAGACAAAATCAAATATTCAAGGTTACAATTAACTGATATTTAATCTTTTAGATTTAAAATATTTTTATTCTTTTAACCATTCATAGCATATTGAGATGCTTATGTAAAGTACACCTTAAATGATTATTATAAGTATTGCTGCCATTGTTTTTCAAATAATTATGGCCATTATCACCCCGAACTCCATGGCTTAGAAGTTCATCTTTAGTTGATATTTGCTCCTAAACTCCAAGTAGCACATGTAGTGTGCTCACTTTAAGGAGGCAGACCAAACCTGTTTACAGCTCTTTTCCTCTGGTTAGATCACCAGCAACATGCCCAATTAATGCATGTAATGTATCGCTTCTTTTTTTTGGATTCTTTGTAGATAATTCCCCAAAAAAGTGTTGCATGTAAAAGTCCAGCATGACTTAAGGAAAATGTAAGGATTCCGCCTGGCTCATATCTGTGTCACCCCTTAAAGGCCACATCTGTGAATTAGGCTCAGTGGGTTTTCAATCACCTGCAGAAAGAAATATTGTATATTTAACCAGCAGCATACATAAGTCTACCAAAGTGTAAATGTATGTGTGTTCAGAGCAAGATGGTTGCGAGTCCAGCCCCTGTCTGAACGGAGGCATGTGCCGGGGATACAGGCAGTACTACGTGTGTACGTGTAAAGATGGTTTCTTTGGGGAACGCTGCCAAATGTGTAAGTCAACTTTGCACCCCTTTTTAAAATCTTTTTATCTCATCTCTGTCATACAACATATGATTTATATGTGTTAAGACAGGCCACCTCTCTATTGCTTTTAATATTTCGATCCATCTTATTATGTAATTTAGGCCAAATCTGATGAGAAAGTTAATGTTAGTTGTGTAATTACTAGTGTTGCACCGATACCGATACCAGGTGGGGACCCCTACAGCACTAAAATGGTGGTATCGGTATCGGCGAGTACCAACAAATAGGGCACCAATATCATTTTGAGAGCCAAAAGTTTATTCAACTATTGTCACCCATTCCAGGTAGTCAATGAAAAGTTCTACTGGATTCACTTTGTATTAGTCTTTTTCCTGCTTCACAAAGGTAGGCAGCAGCTTGACAAAGCCATGATTGCAGTTATTTTACATCCGAGTAGTATGCAGTTCTTCATATATACACATTAGTTTCAAACAGATGGTATTGGTATGGTATCGGCCGATACTGCACAGCCAGGTATCTAGTATCGGTATAGGGGCCAAAAAATAGCATCGGCACAACACTAGTAATTACTAAAATAAATGAAACCTTTTAGCTGAAATGGATGTGCTCAATATTTGGCATGAACCTGCATTTTTTGTTCCAGCGCAAAGATTTTAAAATCTCACAAAAATTCAATGAGACAAAGCAAAGCTGCTCAGCAGTTATCTCCACTTTCTCCAGGTTTCTCCAGTGTTTTTTTATATCATTAAATAAGAGTAGAAGGTAGCAGAATCTTATATAATCTCTCTTAAAGTGGGTTCATTAAACCATTGACAACCTAAACTCAACCAACCAACCATGTGAATAAAAAGCTGTCAATAAAAAAAACCTAGAATAATCCTAATAAATCTATAATTCTTGCTACATCTTAAAAAAAAAAAAAACATTTTCTATTTCCTAACTATTTGGAGTAAATAAAATTGAAGTATTATCCTGGTTACTTTCCATACCTAGAAATACAACCTTCTCTTGGATTAGTTTGGACTTTTATTTTATTAATTTATTTATGTTAAATGTATTTTAAATGTAACTTACTAAATATAAAGTTGTAAAATATTATCAATTTTAAGTTTAGGAATGATGGATTTAAAGAATCTACGTACCATTTTTCTACTTATGATTCTTCTAGCTCTTTTTTTGCACAATGCATCAAATAGGGATCAGTCATTTAAATATATCATATAGCTGGTATTTCATTTGGTGTGAAATGTAACCTGCTATTAAAAAAGTGATCTTATTTCAAATGTTAAACAATTTTCAAATAATATTACACCAAAAAAAGGCTAAACAGAAATTAAATACAATTCCTCTGTGTTTTTCTGTAGGTTTAAAAAAAAAAAAAAAATCACATTGAAACCATCTATTCCCGTTCTACATCATGAATTCCACAGTTCTTTGATTTTGAACAAAAAAATGTAAACCCAATGGCTTTTCAAATAAAATGAGGGAACATTTTATTCACAAAAAAAAAATAACTTCACAAATGTTTAAACTTAGAAACTGAACTTTCCTGAACTTTTTATGCAGGCCAGTTAGTTATAGGTCAGCTTGTGCACCTAAATTTGGCCAATCATATATCAATGGTCATCTGTCAATCAAATTTTCTCGGTCATAGCATCTTGACTTATGTCTCAGCTAATGTACTCAACGGTTGATATAATAGATAAGAATCATTTCCTTTCCTATTGGGTTCCATCCCAGTTTTCACAGGAATGGACGTCTGTGTCTTCAGCAGGCGTAGAGCTAACAGAACTGGCAGCGTTTTGAGGCAAGGGCTCAAACATGTACGGCTGTAAGCCTTCTACACCAAACCAAGCTTCTGCCGCCCTGGCGTCCTCTTCCACAACATCTTCGTCGCCGCTTTCCTCCTCTAAATAAAAAATGTATGACGGAGGAGAAACATCCACGACCTCCAACACTAATCTCTCCTCCTCTGACATGTTTCCGCTGTCCATAGCGTTCCTTGATAGTGTCGTTTCTAAGTCACCAATTTAGTGTTACTTGGTCCCAATGGAATTTCCAATTGGGAACCTCGTAGCACTAAGTTGCTAACTGGTTAGCAAGATGCTTCTGACAAACCAACAACAACCATGCTTGCCAACCTTCCGCCACAACAATTCCACCAATCACATTCACTTTATTCATTCGTGTAAAGTTGTGCACCACTCGGGAGAATTCGGAAATGCAACGGTTGGAACAGCCGCTTCCCTACCACTTTAAGTAATGAAATTTAATGTTGTCAAGTCTGTAATGTGTTTTAATGATATGAGGGATGTCTCCAAGAGGCAGAGGCACTCAAAAAGAACGGTGAGCAGAGGCTCCCTAATCTGTGAAAGTGTTTAAACAATAGGAAAAAAAATAAGAAATAAAATAAGAAAAAAATAAAAATAATATTTTCAATTTCCAATTTTAAAGGCCTTGGAAGCACCAATATCCACAGCACCTAAACAGCCACATTCAAGCATGTTCCAGAAGCACTAACCTGTTCTTCAGGTCCAGAGAATTCTGAATATTAGTTTTTCAGAGTAGCAAAAATGTGCTGTAATCACACCTGTCCTCCTAGTAAACGATTACCCATCCCTGAAGCTGAAGAGGGAGGCAGAGGTGGATGATCCAGGTTAAAACCACAGGACAGAGATTGGATAACATGTTTTCCAGCTCCACAGCATAGACGGGAACTACTATATAAAAATTTACACCCCTCAGTATAAAAGAAGACCTTCCAGCATCTCAGCATCTCTGATAGTTTGGAGATTCTCAAGTCCGTATGGTTTGTGCAGCTTTTATGTTTTTAAAGACGTGTGTCTGCTGAAAGGAATAAAAATGTCTTACAGTAATGTATGCAGGACCAAGGATATTTCAGATGGACAATGAAAAACCACTAACTGCAGCTATAACAACTGCATGTTTTCTTTTGTGGAGACCAGGTACTGAATGCGTCCGCCTGCATTTCATGGATTTCATCTATAGAGAACATATGGTGTATTAAACAAAAATATAGATAAAAGACGACCTCAGGAGCTGTAAACCAATATAAGGCAAAAATTGGATCGGAATCTAGCATAAAAACTCCAATCCAGATGTTTTCAAACTGTTTTGAAAAGGGGAGAAGATGCCATGGTAAACATGTCCCTGTTCTAACTATTTTGGGCCGGATAGCAAGCATTAAAATTTAATATGAACCTATGAGGAATAAAGGTTCAGATTCTTCCTACCATCCAGACCCCTTAAAAGATGCTGCGGTCAAACAGTCAGGTTGTAGGAGGGATCAAGCTTTAGCTTACCTTTAATATCCACGCCACCCAGGACAGATTCATTAAGAAATCTTTTTAAATGCAACAATCTCTTGTTACAGTACATCTCATTCTTTACATCACTAAAAAAACATCTGATGATTATTTAGAGTCTTAAAAAAGTGGATATCAAACTCTGTTTGAAAATAAGCAGGAGTTAGGTGAAGCCGAGTAAAAGTTAGTGAAATAGAATCATGTTTACAGGTTATAAATCAAGTGGCCCCATTTTGTAGGCAAACTTAAAGAGCACTGCAATAATCAAGCCAAGAGGGAATAAAAGCATCTCTGGCTGTTTTCATATTGGCTTAACCTTTATCCAACTGGAAAAAGGGGGATTTTATTAAGTTGGCTATCAGCCTTCAAGGTTGGATCCATTTTTAGTCCTCTATTCATAATAAGGGATTCTTCATGTGACGCCAGGGAGGAGGATAGCTTAGAGCTCAGCAACATGACTTCACAGTCGTTCTCATTGAAATGTAGAGAGGTCGGTGCCAAACGACTCCTAATGTCAACAATACAATCAGGGAGATGTTGGACAGAACACCCACCTCACCCACTGTTAGCTTTCAAATACCACACAAATAAATTAGACATTAACAGGCAGGAAGAATGGAGAGAATCTACATTTTTAAAGGGAACACACACACACTAGAAATGACTCCCTACTCATCAGCGTTTATTGTGACTCACATATCCGCCTGTTCCTGCTGGTTTTAGCCACTGTTTGTCTTTGTCACCCCCAAGTGGAGGACCCGTGTGTGCTGAAACCTTGTGGAGCTCGCGGCAGCTGCTGGAGCGACAAGAGAGGAAACTACAACTGCATCTGCAAAGTAGGCCTCACGGGCAAAGACTGTGAGAAAGGTCAGAGAGGTCAACAATCCCACGGCACTCACAAGTTCAACAGATAGCAGTGTCATGACAGAGCATCAGAAAGGATTTTTAGCTTTTAAACTTGTTTCACATTATTCCAAATAAAACCACAAACTTTGATGTAATTAATTCATAAAACCAACTTCATTAAACATGCAGATATGCATACATTTAGTCTAATATTTCTAGTAAGAACAGATTTGCTTCATGGACAATATCAACGATGTGATCTGTTAATAAATTTACTGCAAACATAATTGATAAATTGCAATAAACTTTTTCGGCCTACATACGAAATATTTAGATCTGCGTAAGCATGGCACTCCCAGGTTGGTGGAAGCTTAAAGCTGTGGAGATGCTTTTAATCTCATTTGATCTTGAAAATATCCAGGACAGTCAAGCAATAAGACCCAGCAAAACATTTATTACAGGGAAGGAGATCACCTTTCTAGCAGAATAACACTGCAACACAGTGATATTCAAATACGTCAATTTTTTCTTAAAATTCTTTGACTAGAGTAGAAAGGTAAGGCGATTTGCCACATGAATATGACTTTTTATTTTATATTATTTAATGGTCATGTTGTCCAATTACCTAATTTTAAAGGCAAAAACATTCGTCCATTGACAGATTATGTCATTAAACTGCTCAAATTGATGGCAGTTATAATTATTTTATTTTATTCTCATTTTTAGATCATTATTTCCAATAAACAACCCTAAATATGCAAACAGAGCAAATATATTTTAAATCAAAACACATTCTGGGGTTAGACTGGCCTAGTCAAAGTCCAGCACCGAATAGAACAAAATAGAAAAACCCTTTATAGATCAGTCTGAATCAAATTAATGTATTTGCATTTGATTTAGGTAGATAAATGGATAATCTGATAATTAAATAAGATTTTTGCACTTCTTAAAAAGAATGTCTAATTACCTTATTTCGAGTGCAGTATATAGCTAATTATCTTATTTTATGGACCAAAATGTTCATCAGCAGATAATTTCACTTACATTCTCAAATACACATATTTTAAGCCATTTTCTCTGATTCAAAACACATTTTTGGTACCGGTAGTTAGATTCTTTACATGTATGGGTTTGGTAGAAACATCTAAAAGTGGCCTTTTGTTTAGAAATAAGTGCCTTTTCCCTTGATCTGAGCAAATATGCAAAACATTTTTACCAATCGAATAAGAAGACTTACTTTTAAATAAGAAAAAACACAACTTTTTTTATTTTAGGGGGAAAATGCTTATTACTATGATTACTGGATCAAATTAAAGACAAATAGTCTTATTTTAAAAGTTTTTACAGTGAATCAAAAAGTGGTTTTACAAGACACTGGTTTAGGGGAGCACAATACATCTACACACAGTATTATTTGTATAATTAATTGCAAAAGTATTTATTTTATAATTAATTTCAAACTGGAATTGTATGAGAAGTTTTTGTTTAAATATGACAAAAGTTAAAATATAATAACAAAAATATCAGTGATTTAAAATACCTTTGATAAAAACACAAAGTTTCCCTTGTTCCCAGATCTGTTGCCTCCCTCTGGTCTCCATGTACTGCGTGTGGAAGAGAACGAGGTGGAGCTGCGCTGGGATCAGCAGGAGCATTCCCACAGAGTGATCAGCATATTCGCTGTGACCTATGCTCCCGTGGGGAACAGCACCCCCAAAACTGACTACCTGGACAAGCAGCAAACCACTCACGTTTTACGAGATCTCGCTCCCGGGATGCTGTACAACATTTCTACAGTCTCCATCAGACTGAAAGCCTATGGCAACGACACAAGCCAGCCTGCCACTGCACTGATTCGCACCAGTGAGCACTAGTTGCATTTATCCCATCAAGGTGTTCAAATTTTAAAACTCAAAAGGATTCCCTGACTGTCTGGTTTTCATGGCAGGACCCCCACGGGTGGAAAAGCTGCAGCTGGTCAATGTGTCCTCCTCCCATGTTTGGCTGAGCTGGCTGGTCCAGGCTGCTCACCATGCAGCCGTCAGCAGGGTGCACGTGTCTATAACACCTTCAGATGGGACCGAGGCTCTCACTGTTGCTCTCAACGCGAGCATCACTGAGCACAGTTTCAGGTGAGGTTTCAAAAGACAGCTTAATGTTTGTGCACTAAATGAAGGAGGAATAAGGCAGTTCCCTTTCTGACAGGCAGAGGGCTGTATTTCATCACCTATGCAAAGTTTTAAACAGTGCTAGAAAAAGTGAAGATGGAAAAAAAACAAAATTTATTTCCTTCCTTGTGTTTCATAGTTCATTAAAGGCTGGTCATATGTACACAGTGGATGTTTTGACTCAAAGCGGGATCCGACCGGATGAGTTTCCTTCTACCAGCCACTCAGCAGGACCTCTACAGTTCTGGACAAGTAGGTAGAATGTTCGGCAAACACCAGTAAAGGTTTTAGTGTTTTATTTTCATATAAAGTCATTTTTGGGGTGAAGGGGAGAAAAAAAAAGTCATATTTATGTAAATGATTGTCCAACATGCCTGACCATTTCCATGTTTTATCCTCAGGGCCTCATCCCCCTGAGAACCTCTCGCTGTCACACGTGACCCCTAACTCAGCACTAATCACCTGGACCCGCCATCCAAGACACGTCCCAGATGGCTTTGTGATCAACGTAACCCGAGGTCTGAACACCAGGAGTCGCTTCCTCCCTAATGGGAAATTAGGATCATATACACTCCGTGAGCTGACCCCCGGACAGCACTACAACGTGGCTCTCATGTCTGTGAAAAACACTGGGCACCAACAGATTCACAGCATACCGCAGCACTTATCTTTCACTACATGTAAGTTACTGCAGGTTTCACCTCAACACAATAACTACATCAGATTAACTCTTCTGTTATTTATCTACCTCTGAAACAAGTACCAGTGCAGGTCAGACCTGGGAGGAGGGAGCGGCCCCTGTTACCTGGACGCGTGTTTCCCACATCTCACCCTCAAGATCTGGGGGCCACAGCTGACATAAAGAACTCTGGAGAGCTGTTCAGGTATCTAGCAGTAGGGGAAAAAAGAAAAACCTCCTACTAAAAATAAGAATTGCTATTTGTTTCTTATTTTAATCGTAGAAATCGGACTTTAATCCCAAAATTACTGTTATAGAATTACGACTACTTTTTATATTCTTACTATATTTAGGTGGTAATCCTGGGCTTTGGCAATAGAGTCCTAAGTAATTTGACTTTTAATTCTGAAATTAAAAGTCATGATTTTTGGGAATATACTGTTTTTTATGGCCCTAACAGTCTTCCATATAGCAGAGGTTTGATTACAGGTGGAAAGATGAAACACAAACATCAGTCTGGGATCCAGAATGAAACCTAAGCAGAGATTCTGTTCCTGTTGCTGCAGGTACACAGAGCTGGTCGACAGAAGGGGGAAGATAACGGCGAAGTTCTCACACTTAACTCCGAAAGTCATCCGACATCGCACAAGTAAGTTTTAGCAATCAAGCAAATATCTAGAGGAGAATTAAAAAAAAGAAGTTTATATCTTCACTAATGGCTACAATTTGATCATTTATACTATTTATTATGGGTGCAGTTCTATTGGTTTATTTTGCTAAATGTAAAATAGTCTAATCTCTAAAAACATGGTGGTCTATTTTATAAAGAAGCACTCTTTCTTCAGATTGACAGGATGATACTAAACATATAGTGGTCTTTTGAACCTTTGAATATTTTGTACGGTGGTAGACCAAAGCAAACTAAGCTGTAAGAAGCCACAAAAAAGCAATTATTTGTTTGTTCTTATAAGAATATAATTATTTCTTTGTAATTTTAATAACAAAAAAACCCCAGAATTTCATGCATTTTTTACCGGTACATTAAAATATCTTTAATTATTTAGAAACTATTGATGATAAAAGTTAGGGTAGATAAGTGAATAATCTGATAATTAGATATGATTTTTGCACTTCTTATACAAAATAAATGGCTAATTATCTTATTTCAAGCGCAGTATATAGCTAATTATCATACTTTTGGGAATAAAATGCTCATTTGAAGATACTTTCTCTTAACTGCTTAAATAAACTAATTTTAAGCCATTTTCTCTTATTTAAAACATATTTTGGTAGTTAGATGTAATAGGTTGATAGAAAAGTATAAGCAAAGTAAGCTGTAAAAAGCCCACAAAAAGCAATTATTAATTAAAATGTAATATAATTATTTATCTTTAGCTATAGTAACAAAAAGAAAAACACAATTTCATGCATTTTCTTACATAAAAATGTCTTTATTTATCTAGAAATCATTACTGATAAAGTTGACACATAGACAAAGAACTTTTAAATCTTACATTTTATTTAATTTATCAAGTCACGTATCAAGTTTACAATTTAGTTTATTTTTATCAAAGTTTGTTTTATTTTTCACATTGCTGTTGCAGTTTGAGCCAAAATGATGAACAACAAAAAATGTTTTTGTAAATTAGAGGTGGATAGTAACTAGTTAAAATGACCGTCACTAAAAAAAATACACTTTGTGGAGTAGTTGTACTTAACCGTACCTTTTACTTGAGTACTATTGTAGTGAAAGTAATGCTACTATTACTGGAATAAATTTACCAGTTAAAAAAGATGCTACTGTAAACAGATATTGTTACTAGAATTTCTTTGTGTTTTTCTGAGGTGTATAAACAACCTGCTGTTAGAAATGTTAATTTTTCTCTGCCCCAATTGGTTGTTTTATAATCTTGTTATTTGTTTGTATTCTTTTACTGTGTTTCATTACTTTGAAATACAAGAATTTACACATAACTCCATCTGATAACATGAAAACTCAAATTTTATGAGTTGATCAGTTAATCAGTACTTGAGTCCCCATTTTACTGTACTTTTATCTTTCATCTTTAATTATTTTTATCTTGGCTTCTTTCTACTTTGACTTGAGAGAAAAAAAACCCGTAAAAGTCGTGCTACACTTGCCTGGGTAAAGTTCTTAGATCCTCTACCCATATCTGCTGTAAATAAACTCCATATTAGTGTGTTATATTGCTTTCAGTAGCATTAGATGATGCCACAAGCTGCTGCAAGAGGAAGATTCCTTTATTTAACCAGGTAAAATTAACTCAGTTAGATTAAAAATCTCAAGCGTTACCTGGCCTACAAGGAAACTTAATGATTACAAAAAAAAAAAGAAAATGTATGAATAATAAAATATAATATTACATCATTGCAGGTACTTCATTTAAATGCTGTTTTTTCCAGTTCAGTACTAACCTGCATGCAGATGTTTTAGTGAGATCAAATGCCGTATTAAGTAGATTATACACATATGCTTATAAAAATCTGTAGGTAAAAGATAGAGTCAGCCTGTCTCAGAGCCTACAACCATACAGAAATGGACAATCTGCAAATGCATATAAGGAGTTTCTTTAAAAACTGACTTAAAGCATCAATGGTCCAGCAAAGGTAAAAAAGTAGATGTGATCAAATGTTTTCTAACTAGCTGCAGTGAGTTTATAGTAGGTATGTGGATAATCCGATTATCAGACTGTTGATTGCAGCAATAAAGATGAATGGCAGAAATATAGGTCTTCAAAATTCAATCTTGCTGTTGGCCCCATTAGGGGTGTAAATCACACCCATCATGGCGATTCGATTCAGTACTGATTTCCTGACCCAACGATTCAATTATTTTCGATTCTCAGAATACATAATCTTTTTTTTCCTCTGCCACATCTGTCTTGCCTACGTCTTCTTTCACCTCTGCTATCTCCGCCATGTCTGTCTTGCCTACTGTTTACGCTGCTGTGTGTGTGCATGCGGAAAGAGGGTAGCGGCTAAAGGAAGCGAGGTAGGAGAGGAGAATAGGTGTAGCGCCAAAAATAGACCAGAGGAAAAAATAAACATGAATCGATTCTCTTGCAGACGTGTCGATGCATCGGATCGTCAGCTGTTGGATCGATGCATCGATACAAAATGATCATTGTTTACACCCCTAGGCCCCATGGAGGCTTGCCCTGGTTTTATAGCATCTAAACCACAAACATGATGGATTTTATTTAAAGTGGTCAGTTATAAAAAAAAATTTTTATGTTTTTTTTTTTTAAGGATGGTTTGTTGAACAATAGTTTTTAAGCTAAAGAAAAAGGGATACATCTGCAAGTCACCGTGTCTTTTCTGCCTAAGCTCACTTTTTCCACCAGCTTTTTTTCCACTTCTCTATCAATAGATAACTTTTTTATTAAGGATTTTAGACATTTTTTTTTCCTTCAGCAGCTTCCTCTGGCTAAGAGGCTCAACAGTGAAGCCTTTTTGTTTGTTTGCCAGATGCTATCTGGTGCTGTTGAGAATGCATTTCCTCTGTAGGATACTCCACCGCCTTTAATGTTGTTTTGACAAAAACGGGAATGTACTCAGTGTCTCAGTCGGTGCAGTGATTCCTTCATTTCCTCGTTTCACAAACAAACATAGCAGGAAATGTCTTTGCCTTCCAGGACCTCCACCTATCAGATTAGAAAAGATGGAGGAAACCACAAACAAAATCAGCCTTGCACTAGAGATTGGAGAAAAAGCTTCAAGAACACAGCCTGGTAGGTGTTTTATTGTCTTTATGTTCTATATGTTTTTTTTCTTCTTATCTACTGCAAAGCATGAGGCATGAGACTCCTGCTCTGTTGCATTGGAGTAGAACTGGAATCTGTAAACATGCGGTATCAGCTGTGGATGATGAGAACCAGTGGGCCTGAAACATGAGACTGAAACTCTGAGGATTTTAACGGCAGCTGTTGTCTTTAGAGTCGTCCCAGGACTGCCACAGTCTGTCCTGCCAGAATGGAGGGACGTGTGTGGAAGAAAGGGGCTCTGCCGTCTGCAGCTGTGCGACGGGTTTCAAGGGCAGGCAGTGTGAATTGTGTAAGTATATGGGCTCGTCTTATTTTACCCCACACAGAAATCAGAGCATTCAGATGATATTCAGCACAGAACTGTTCCTTGATTTTTTTTCTGATCTACGGGTTTTTATTCTTGTGTTAAAACAACGGTTAAGCACCTTCTGCTGATTCACTTTCAGTCTCCTCAAATATTATATATATGCTCCCAGTGAAACACGGTGGTGACAGTATCATGGTCTAAACTTTTCTTGGGATGGCATCAAAGTTGTTGTCAACAGCAAAAATGAAATCCTGAACAGTTGTTGATCCTAAAGCAAGAAGCTGGAGAGAAACTTCATAAATCAGCCTCACAGGGAGTCTAAGAATGGATCCAAATCCATGTAATATTGATTCAATGAAACAGAATATGAAAGTTCTGGAATGGCTGAGACACATTTCAGAGCTAAATTTGACAGAAAACTACAGCTGAACCTATTAATCGGATTAAAAATCGATTAAATGTTAACTGGAGTATAGAGACTGTGAAACATGCCTTTAGCTGATAAAGCAACCCACTTAGAGCAGCAAATATACCAAAATTGTAAAATAATATATATAAATTTTGTATTTAAGTAAAAAATAATATATTTCGTCTAACAATATTCTCTATCTAGAACTCCTCAAGTTCAAAAGTTTTAGTTTCACCTGGTTTGATTACTTTAAAAGTGTTCTTTAAGGAACTCCTGGTTATCCGATTATCAGTTGATTAATTGGAAAAATATTCGACAGATTAATTGATTTGCAAAATGATCGTTACTTGCAGCCTTAGAGAAAATCTTTGGTGTCACTAGAAGAGAGCAGCAGATGAGAGATGTCCTTTTGCAAGGCAGGATGTGAGCTAATGCAACCAAGTTACCAAATAGTTCCCCCTGCTTGGAGGCTGCTGATGGAAGACAGCACATATCACTATAACTTTACTAACAGATCAAAATGACTTCTCCATCAATGTGCAATCAGGATTCATGATAACCTTCCACTTTTCATTGGTGCCTGTGTTTCCACCCACACTTCTTTCTAAGTTTAGGAATTTAGGGCATGCTTTGGTGGTGCTGTGGTTAGGGCACACAACCTATGTATGGAGGTCTTAGTCCTCAACGTGGGTGACCCGGGTTCAAATCCAGCCTGTTGTCCTATCCTGCATGTTTCTCCCCCTTTCTCATACCCCCTTTCCTGTCAGCCTACTGTCCATAAAAATGAGCCACGAGTGCTGTAACAACTAAAAAAAAAAAGAAAGTTTAGGATTTTAGCCTGGATGTGGTCTAAACCATCAGGATGTAGGTTTGCAGCAATCAAAGGGCGTGATTGATTTTAGAGGCTGCATCCTCCAAGGACCCGGTCTACCTGGACTGGATCCTTGGAGGTCCATGAAAATAAGAAGACCGGAAGAGTTTTGGCTATAGATTCAAACAGGTCCAGCCTTCTCCGGCTTTCACTGCCCGCACGCTCTATCGCCTAGCAACCGTAACAGTTGACAAACAAAGCAGGCAGATAATGGATGCTGAACTTCTCACTGCAGTTCTGGGTGCTAATAGCATTTTTGAGGAGCTTCAGCACCAGTACAGTAATCACGGATATCAGATTTATACTCCCCACACTGCAGATGTTTGCAAATCTGTGCCTAAATGACAGCCAGACCCAATAAACCAAATATTAGCCGCCACATTACTGACTCAATAACCAGTTTTAGACAGAATTATTCACATACTTGCAATAAATTAAACTGTACTTCCATTATTCCCCACTGTTGGGCGCCATTTACCATTTTCCTCTGAGCACGGAGCAGCTGGACTGCTTGCACTAGCAATGAATCACAGGATACCAAAGGCTACGTAGGATACAGCAGACCCATCCCTATAATGGGAAAATAGAAAGCTTCTTTCGCCAGCTGTATAACGGGAGTCTTCCAATCCGATCAGGCCTCGGCGCCGTTCTATGACATAATCAGCCGATGTGTCTGGCATTCGGACGATGCAGCCCCTGAACTTGAACTCAGCATAAAGGATGTTATCTGCCAGCCAGTTGCCATGTCACCAGTCCATCACAGGGCAACGCAGAGACAAACAACAATTCACACACATACTCACACCTAAGGAGAATTTAGAGAAACCAATTAACGTAACAGTCATGTTTTTAGACTGTGGGAGGAAGCCGGAGTACCCAGAGCGAACCCACACATGCACAGGGAGAACATGCAAACTCCATGCAGGAAGACCCTGGGCCAGGAATCAAACCCACAACCTTCTTGCTGCAAGGCAGTAGTGCTACCCACTACGCCACTGAGCAGCCCATAATACGTAAAAGTCCGATCACCTCTGAATTTTAACTTTGATCCTGGTATATCTAAGAGAAGTTGTTTAGTTGACTTAGGTGATCTTTTTGGAGTGAAGATGTCTAAAAGATCATAGGGATATAATGAGGTCAAACCATTTAAAATTTTAAAAACAAACAACAAAACCTTAAAATCAATCCTAAAACAAAGAGAAAGCCAGAGAAGAGAAGCTGGATTTATGCCCTGTCATATTTTAGTACCCGTTGAAAGATGAGCTGCTGCGTTTTGGACAATTTGTAGGCGGTACAAAGATGATTTATCTAATCCAACATACAAGGCATAACAATAATCCACCTGAGGAGAAATTACAGCATGAATCACTTTGTAAGCTTTTTTGTTGGAAAATATGACTTCATCTTTGCAATTCGTCTGGGTTGGGGAAAAATGGACTTTATGATTGCATTTATCTGTTTGTCTACTTTAAAAATATGTAGAATAAAACATTTCTCACAGCAGAACCTAGACCGTCAAGGATTACAATCCCCAAAGCTGATGGGGAAATTTTAATTTCAACCAGATTTTTAAATCCATCAGACAGTTCAAGGCTGGTTGAACACGACTGACACTGTCTTGCCTAATTGGGAGATAAATTTGAACATCTTCAGCAAAACTATGAAGGAGAAAAGGAAACCCAAAGGCAAAATATAGAGGTTAAAAATGGACACAGAGAACCATGTGGTCCTAAATGAACAGATCTTTGGAAAAGTGACTTGAATTTTTGACAGAGGAGTCCATGTGTGTCCAAAAGAGCATGCTGTTAATGAGGTGGACTGCAGCCTAAAGCAGTGGACCTGAAGGCCTTGAAGGGTTTATTAGAGATGCTGAATTATCTGGGATCTAACTGGAATAATGGAGCAGAAGGTCCAGAGTTTGTTCTCTGCAGAAGATATATGTGCATGTTATTATGTGTATTTTCTTTATTTGTTTTGTGTGCTCAAAAGTATTTGTAAAAATAGAATAATAATAAAAAAGCAGCTGTTGACCAGATAAAGCTCAAGTGAGGAAACACGCTTCTTACCTCCTGACTAAAATCCAGTTCTGCCAAAACAGAGTAGAATTTATGAGCTGGACTTCTCCTCTAAGATGACATTGATGAAGGAGACACTGGACATACCCTCACTCCCCCTAAATCTTCTTCTACACCCAAATATCCAGTGTCAGAATTGTTTAAACATTCCTGTCCTAGAAACCATCCATCAGCCGGTGAGAAGGGCCCAGTCCCATCCCACAAGACCCCTAAACCATCCCGCAGGCTTTTCCTTCCCCACAGCTCTGACAGCTTTCATGTGTTGGGCTGTTTTACAGTGTGCCAACGACTTCCCCACCCGTGTACCCGGCTCTACTCTGAGACTAAAAGCATACCCGTCTGGGAGGGTGGCGTGTGCCACTATCTGTAAGTCCTGTCACTCCATCCTGGCTCTGAGAAATGTGAGGAATGTGCCTTCATTCCAGCGGATTCAGTAAATATTAGCTTTTCTTTCTTACAGGTACAGACGGATGTATAAGGTCCAGCAGGATGTGTGCTACCGGGAGGTTTGTGAGCCCATGCTTTCAACGAGAAATCAGAGTATGTATAACAATCAGTCTGCATCTCAGATTAATTTATCTTCATTCATGTCAAGGAGTTCTTATTTAATTTTCTTTCCTTACAGACAGAAGAGTAAACAGACCCCAATAAAGTTTGTTTTTTCCTCAGTAAGTTGAAGCAGAATTTCTGTAAAACATTGTCAACAATCATGCTCCCACAAAACAAAAACAAAAAAAAACAAGCAGATTTTTCTGTCATTCTCTCCTCTAGAGCATCTGGATGCTGATGAAAGAGCTGTCATCACTGTCATGTGGAAAATCCTCCTAACTTTGTTTTTTTTGTTTTTTTCGGTGTATATAATTGACTTGAAGTGTCTGATTATGGTTATTTTTGTGCTGAGAACCCGTCAAGACCCACTGTAACACAAACCACCATCCCTTCATCTGATTACGGCTTCACTGTTTGCAGGAAAAGGACATGTGGTCCACATTATTTATGTTTGCTGGATGATATTTCATGCAAACAAACACACAAACGCAAATTTGGATAAGCAGCATACAATACCTTTAAATACCTCATATAAGTGCTGAGACGCAAGGAGAGGCTTTTATTTGTGCTTCAGCTGCGGGTTTTGTCCCCTCAGGGAAATAATCACAGAATGTCCCTGCCTTCGCCTCAAAACGTCCTCATGAAACAAAAGAAAAAGGAATAAATAAAGTCTCACCGCAGCCCATGATCGGATCTCATTCTCTGCCAAGTGTTTCTATGTAAAATATCCGACTCTGTCTTAGCAGGCATGGTTGCCTGCTCCTCTGCTCTGTAAATAGTGTTTATAGGTCATTTTGTAGGTGGATATTTTATTAATAAAAATAATAAAACTGTTTATTTTATCAGTCTGTGTTTTTTTTTGTCCTTTTCTCTCCTTTGGATTGAAGGCGATTTGACTCGTGACCATATGAAAGTATGTGCTCTAATAACCCTGAAATAAGATTTTATTACTGTTAACGCAATCACTCTTCTATTGATTTCAAACTTGTTTATTTATTTCATGTGGGAAAATTCTTTTTGTTGTTGTTGTAAAAATCATCCATCTTTGCTGTTAATGCATTGGTTGGTTGCTTTTTGCAAACTAGATGGCACACATTCTTCTCTAAGGTTTTATAAGCTAGGAGCTAACGTAGGGAATGATCTGAGAGGTTTTACAAGCACACTTGTAAAATCTGTAAACATACTTGGAGAAGGATCTTTGACCAGTTTCTTTCTGCAGTTTCTCATCCAGTCAATCTCCTCCATTCTTCTCATCATCACCCCCCCCACACTGGGCTTTTGTTTTGTTTTTAGATACATTTTGATATAATTTTGTATTTTAGGTCTTGGGACTGCGATGACTATGGTGAGTTTTTAAGTTAAACAGCCTGTGATGAAAGTGATGCATTCAATGTTAGAAATTGTTCCACAGCATCACAGATTTTTTTTTTTTTTAAACAAAGGGTTTGTATTGATTTCCCATCCATTCATGTTCAACTCACCTGAAATGTTTATACAGCTCAATAATGGTCTCATCTGACCATAACACGTGGTTCCCATTAAAGTCTTAGTAAAGCTCAGCAAACTCCATCTGTTTATGTTTGAGGTGGTAGGACAGAAAAAGTTTTTCGCTGGAATCACTCCCACCACAAACCAGCTGGCATGTCCAGAGCATCTGACTGTTTTGAAAAATTGGGGATCACAGGATCACATTCTGTGCTGCTGTTTCCAAAAGCAAAGTTGTTTTTTTTTTTTTTTTAAAGATATTTATGGTTATTTTTTTACTTTTCTCTCTGCAGGGTTTAAAAGAAATTACCATGTTTGTTATGCAATATTCATTCCCCAAAAAAGAGCAGAAACTGGAGTATAAGTAATGAAAAACATACATTTTAATGAGATCATTGATTTGATGATTGTGGCTTCAAAATTTTGCAATCTCTGAATAGATTCCCTTAAATTAAAGGTTGGATTTTTCAGAGAACAAATTTATTAACCCATTAACCTTTTTAAGGTTTGGTATTTGTCTTTACTGAATGTGCCAAAAATGTTTGTCCTATCTAGTGGTCTAACTTTTATTTTTTCCTTTAGTTAAAGTCACAAAATCCCTTAAGAAAATTTCCACCATAAACAAATAAATAGAATGACATGACTGCCACTCACATTTAAGATGGCAGTTTTGGATTAAATTATTTTGTTCAAACTAGCTTTTTTCTTTTTATCTAGTCTATATTTTTTCATTATTATAAGATAGCATATTCAATCAACCTCTGATCTCACTTGCATTAATATATAAATGAGACTTGAGTTCTACTGTGGATTTGTTTTTTTTATTGGAGATCAGCATGTTAGAGGTAACAATACAAGATATGTAGTTAATCCTAAACGGATACTCCTTTTTTGATAAACAGAACCAGGAGGAGAACATACCCAAGTAACAATAATACAGTGGTAAATTAACATATTGGTTATGAATGACAGGACAACAATAATTTTTAAATTCTATTTTAAAAAATACTTGATAAATAGGTACATAAAAGGCTTTAATTAATTTACATGAGTGAATTCAAGTAGACTCCAGGAGGATCAGGTAGGCTGCTGCCTCTGCTTTTTAAAAAAAATTATTTCCTGATATTTATTTTATTATATTCATGTATTCTTCATCCTCGATGGACCTGAACAGTCTGCGCTGCTTTTTGGTTTCGTTTTTACTTTAATGCACCTGAACGGGGCAGGCTTCGTAAATATTTCCCACATCACGTGAATGCAGCACCGAGCTCCAGCGGTGGGATCGCTGAGCCCCCCTCCGCTGAAAACTGAGATAGTGAGGAAAAAGCAACGGGAGGGAGGAAAGCTCTATGTCTTAGCCAGTCTGGTGCTTTTAAATACTTTTATATCTTGTTTCTTTTCTGCCGTTACTGTTCAATGCGCTCCAATGTGGCGATATGTAGCGCTTATTTCATTCCGGTGGAAAACGTCGTAAATCTGAGCGCTCACACGGTAACTGCCGAAGCTTAGCACAACTCCAGTTAGCCTCCTCTGGCTAACTTAGCCCGTTCCAGTGCAAGTTAGCCGCAAGAAAAGACAAAAAAGATTTTCTTTTTATTTGGTCCAAGGGAACTACCGTAAACGGTGACGCTGTGGCGCGATTTAACTCGTAATGTTTCCTCAACGGATTAACTTCACGGACGGATGAGAAAGAAACCAGCGAACACTACAGTGAGCCAGACGTCCACTGCTATGTTGGGGTGGACTCTCAGCTCTGGCAGCCCGTCTGAGCGCCGAGGCTGGCCTCACTCGGTGCTGTGGAGGCTCGGAGGCTTCTTCTTCCTGCTGCTGCTGGAGGGCAGCGGCTGCCTGGCCAGCCAGAGCAGCCTCCCAGGCGGCCACAGCAGCACCAGCAGCCCCGGTGTCAACATTTTCATGAGCGTGGAGGAGGTGAAGAAGTTTCTAGGTAAGAAGGCCTTTTTGAAAAGTCAGCTGTTCAGTTTAAAGAGCTGAGCAAAGGTATCCATACTTTATAATTATACTCATTTTCCTCCTATTTTAGACTCTTATTATACACAAACTATCAGCTATCAGAAAGGTGGGAAGTTATAATCTGTCCCACTGGCTTTGACACCCATGATTAAATAACATTACAAGCAATTTATTTAAGAAGTAAGCTAATTAGTTAATAGACTCCACCTGTGTGAGATTTAATAAGACTGCTTAAGTTAATTAGGGAACATTTCTGTGCAAGCAACTTGGGAACCCAGCAGACAAAGGGGGCTGTGGAGAAATAAACATCTTCTGGAGTACGGAGGGAATTTTATTCCATTATTCCTGCAAGCAAAGAACAGCTTTTGTAAATAAAAATAAGAAGAAACTGTATTCCAGAATTAAAATTTGAAAAACAAATTATTTTGTTGAATAAAAGACTAACTCCTGCTGTCTTCTAATAAAAACAAAACAAAATTTTTTTTATATTTCCAATACATATATCTTATTTTACGTGTTGAAAATTTGAAGACGGAAAAAAAGGGAAATCCATAAATGAAACTTGAAAACAAACTCTTTTTGTCATAAAAGGTTTGTTGTTTTCTCTAGTTTTTTTTTTTTTTTTTTTTTTTCCAAATTTTCCTAATTTTCCTCTTCCAGGTTGAGTTTTATAAATTCCTTTTTTCAATTATGTTTCACAAATGTCTTCACTTCTGGGGGCAGGCTTTTTGTGCTGTGAATTTTGAAGACGCACCTCTGTTGGTCCAAATGGATGTTTACAATATTTCTTTTTGGTCAAACATGAGTGCTTGATTTGGGCTTGATATGAAGAGATTGTGATTTGTGAAATCAATAAAAAAAATGCAAAAAATTAAATAAATATAGATATAGATGGCTATAGAGATAGATAGACACACACACATATGTGTGTGTATTAAAAATGGAAAATAAAAAAATCAGGGGAAACGACAAAGTAGCCCCAAAATCCTTTTTAGAGTTTCAATTCTAGATTGTGTTTTATGTTTTCTCATTTTTATTCAAAAAAACATATTGTTTGTATGAAACAGTAATGGATTAAAACTCACTCCGTACTGGAGGGCAGTTTCAGTCATCCTACACAAGTGAAATAGTTTTATTGCACCAAGAGATGGCTATCCACCTAAAATGATGGGTCACTTCATCAGACATGGACCCACTGCATCACTAGAGGAGCTGCAGAGATGCACAGCTCAGGTGGGAGAGGAATCTGCAAGGACAAAGTTAAATAAGCAGTTTGACAGATTGGTCCAAAACTGCAAAATGCTACCTGTGGGTTGAGCTAACACTATGTAGCATCCATGTGGGGAAGCAGAGAAGATCAGAGTTGATCAGGAGAATTAAGGATGCTTAGTATGCACACCTACTGTATAGATACCTGCAGAGCTGTAATGGTATGCTGCAAACATACTCATTGGTATTGAGACACCAGTATGAGTATGGGGATGGAATTGCCTCAAAAATCGGTTAGGGAAAATGTTCTCTCATCCTGACTCGGAACTAAGGCACACATCTTGGCATTTTATTAGTAAAAAATGCTATATGGCTACATATTTTTATATGAATTCTGGAATAAGAAACAATGAACAACATTTAGAAAATGTGTCATGGATGAAATCTGTATTTTCTTCTAAAGGCTTATTTGATATAAAAAAAAGATAAACGTTAACTTGATTATTGTTAAAATAGTCCTGTCTGCCTGTAGAACAGCATCAGCTTCTTGGGTTTATTATCCAAACACAAAGCTGCTCTGTGATTCAGCTTTCTGTGGACATTGGTCAGTGTTGGACTTTTCTTTATGCTCACTTTGATTACGTCAGCTGGCTATAAACTCAGTTGATAATCATATGGCTTTATATAACAGAATAATTCAAACTTGGTAGTTTTTTCTCCTTTAAATCAGAAGGAACAAAATGGCCTTAAAGTTTGTCATTGTTTACTTCTAACGTTTGTGCAAGACAAACTTAGAAACCGCAGTTACAAAATGTGTATATTTCTGCATCAATCATGTGTTATAACACAATGCAATTTGTATTATGTGCTTTTATTGGCACCCTGTGTGCAAGTTCATTTAAGTAGTTTCTGTCATTAGACACATCCTGTGGTGTCAAATAGACCTAAAAAGGGGAAACTGTGAAGTAGTTTTATTAATGGGTTTCTATTTATCTTTTGTTTCTTTGCGTGTAATGGCATGAAGTTGTTCCCTGTTTGAATGCCAAAGTGAAATAAGTGCTAGCTTTGCTCCTTAGTTGTTTTTAGGATTCGAACAGAGGCACAGTCTTATTGAAGTTGCCGTCTACATCTTGGTTTTATTTATTTTTTTCATGGATCAGCAGCTGTATCTGTTAAATGTTGGAGAGAGGTACCAAGTGTGTCACAGTCCGGTTTAACCAGTCTGAATTCAGCTGTTCAGAGCTGCTAACCATCAAACAGAAGGACGGGTTTGGTTGTAGCTGTGTTTGGTTTGCTTTGATGATTAAACCCATTCAGCATCAGACCGCTCAGTCATTATACAAGCAAAATGCACCCTCATCCGTATTGATGCTTAACATAAAGAACTGTATGAGAAAAGAACATCTGATGTTTGCCCAGACTTTGTAGAACATCAAAGTCCATCATAGTCCGACTGGGGAGAGACTGAGTGAAGTCTGGTTTTTGAACAGTTTCCAGCAGCATCTTTTTTCTGTAAAATCAACACATGACCACGGCTTAGGTCTGTGACCCGGAACTAAACTCTCACTTAGACAAACTGAAGTTTGGCTGTAATGAATACAGAATATCAGCACAACCATAACCAGCTGTGTGGTATAGTTGTGGGGGGATGGTGGTGTGGGCTTTCTGTGCTGTAGCCATTTTTCTGTAACGTCCTTAAGTTTGGACAAAACTGATGGTCATATGGTCATCTGGCCATATAAAGAACACCTCACAGTCACCACTTCAGTATAGTCATAATAAAATGTGAAATTTGATTGGAGATAGACTGAAGCCTTAGCTGGCTGTGTTAGTTTTTTTTTTCTTGTAATGGCAGACGTGTGTGTTCACTAATTTGTTTATTGCATTCAGCAAACACTTGTTATGATTGCCTCATTTTAAGCATGACTGGTGAAGAAAAAAAACAATATCAGCTCCAAAAAAGGGAATACTGCAAGTATTGAAAAAAATATTTTTGAAATATTGTTTCTTATAGTTTGGTATATTATTTGACATTAGTATTTATTGACAGTTAAAAGTACACAGTCACATTATTCATCGATATTTAAAAGACCAAAATCCACTTGGTTATGATAAAATAAGTCTATGTCCTTAAAGGGTAATTCCTGATAATGTTTTCATCATCTTTTTGAGCCTAATACCCCATTTACACTACCATCTGAAAACTGATCCATGCCAAGCTCGGTTTCTTACGACCATTTACACATCATGCTAGCACGGTTTGTGACGATCTACGGTACTACTGCTCACTAGAGGTAAACAACTAAACCAACATGGCAGTGCCCATAACATTCAGGAAGTTATGTTTTGTTATCATTGTGATATTTCACTGTTTGTGAAGAAGGCAGCCTTTGGTGAATTTACCTGACAGAGTCGGCTTTTGGGAATTGGATTCGAGAAACAATAGTCTAGTCTGGGCTAACAGACGCAGAAAACAACAACGGACGTTGAAGTTCATCACACTGCTAAGCAGAATCATCCCTGGAAATGGTGTTAAGATGGTATTTTTATGAATGTCTGAAGTTTCATGATTATGGAGGCTGGCTGTAAGGAGATGATGCGGTCTGCTCATGAATCTTCGTTATCTGAAAATTGAACCAGATTGAACCGCACCAAGCCCTACTGATGAATTAGTACCAGTCTAGCGCAGTTAGTTTGTGTCTGGCACGGTCCAGGTTCAGTTGTGTGTTCCATTTACACTCAGCAGTTATCTTGGTGACCGTGCTTGGAAAGATCTCATCATGGTTTCGAAAGGGTAGTGTAAATGGGGCTTAAATAGAACCCCAGCTTGGGATGCAATGAGCTGGCATAAACAGACGTAGCGCCATCTACTGGCAGTACTCCTTACCTACCAGAAATCAATATGGTAGCCGTTGATGCAGCTATTAAAAAAGTCCTGACCGTGCTGTAATGCTTCAGTGAAAACCGACAGCTCTGAGGAGCATTGCTAACACTACTAGCTCTGTTAGCTAGGACATGGACTCAGGGGTCTATCATCAGAATGCTTCCTGAGCTTTAGTTCCAGGTTTAGTGAATTCTAACAGTCAGACTGTTTTCACAGCACAACTTGAGTTTTATTAATCTTGCATTTAAACATGTTCTTGCAACTTTTTACATTTAAAAATGGGCCTTGCATTTTTTTCTTTTCACAACTATGTTGGGAGTTCCTCACTCGCTCGCCTCTATTGCTTTGGCTTGTTGACCGATTGTATGCATGAGCAGTGATTTAATCTCTGTAACATGTTTTTATAGTAAATATACTAGGGATGTCCCGATCCAATAATTCTTATCTAAAATCTCCAGTATTATCATGCTAATTTAAAACACTCTGGTTCTTTTAAAAGTTTCTGTAACTCATTGGTTAATTTTACGAGTGTTGTTTTTATAGCTATCGTTGTTGGCTTTTGTTTCCTGTGTTGGTAATATTACTTGATCAAGCCTTTTATAACACTCTACATGATAAAATTGGTTATAAAAGCTGGTGTGATTTGTCAGTTAATATCGGTATCGGACAATTGTCAAAGTTTCAATCCTGATATTGCGTCGGCTTGAAAAGCTGTATTGGGCACACCTGTGAAATATACACAGAAATGCTATTTTTACTAATAAACTGAGTGTAAAGAAAACGTAAAAGACAAAAATAACCAATACTACTCCGGCAGGATGCAGAAATTTGTCATAAAAAACGTTATATGCAACCAGTGTGAGTTAGTAGTTTATACATTT